AAGTGTTGACGACTCGAACGTGAGTTTAACATTACGTTATTTTGCAATCATTTTGTGGAACCTAAATAAAAATTAAGATGAAAAGTATATATATGTGAGAGTTATATTGTTTGTGCTATCGCAGATGTTTATACTTCAAATTATAATACATAATGAAGAATATTGACAAGATATCATTGTCCGAAATGAAGTTGATGTTGAAACATTAATGACATGTACGACTGTGATGTGATGTCAATATTCTTTATTATGTATTATGATTTGAAATATAAATTACTTCTACGATAGCACAAACAATAGAACTCTTATATATATGTACTTATCATCTTAATTTTTATTTAGCTTCGACAAAATGATTGCAAAATAACGTAATGTTTTAAACTCACGTTCGAGTCGTCAACACTTCACATTAATTTCATCCCCCTATTCATTAGTTCCAAACTTCCAGTGATTTGTGAACAAATTCATAACCACATGTCTAAAAAATAAGTACAAGTAATACGAGATGTATTGTACGCAAGAACTACGTTCACTTTCATTCGCAATAAAAAAAAGAACATGTATTTTAATATAAATAAAAAAATGAACATGTATTTACACATATATATATATATATAAATTTATACTTAAAAAAAAAATGAACCGGAACCGGCGGGTCTTACCCGGACCCGCCTGAAAACCGGCGGTTTTCAGACCCGCCGGCACAGGGCCGGTTCATCGGACCGGCCCTTAGTTCCAACCGGGCCGGTCCCGGTTCGACCATCCCAGGACCCGTGGCCCGGCGGGCCGGGCCGAAACCCGACACCTGACCACCTCTAGTCTGAACACAAGATAATCTCGCCAGTTATAAGCACTGAAATGCATGCTTTGAAAAGATATTAATTAAGTCCTTGAAGTATATCTATGATTATGTGCTAAAATATTCGAGATATCCAATTATATCTGAAGGGTACTATGATGAAAGCTTATCAGATTTGAGGGACTTTCACTCCACCAACGGATACATTTTGTGTATTGGATGAGGTATTGTTTTGTGGAAATTCACAAAATAAACTTGTATATAGCTTGATCAACCATGAAATAAAAAGTTCATCAATTTTGATAAAGCTAGTGAAGAAGTTGAATGACTTTGAAACGTTTAATCCAATATTTCTTGTTGGAGTAAACTTTTGCTGCCTGTGATGATTCGTTCTGATAGTCAAGCTGATATAGAAAGGATTCAAAGCCACATGTATAATAGTAATTCTTGACATATTCGTCGTAGACATAGTACCATTTCCCAGTTGATCACAAATGGTATTATTTCTATTGACTATGTAAAATCTAAATAATAATTTGGCTCATCCTTTTACCATACGAATAAATAGAGATCAATTGGAAATATTGCTTGAGTAAATGGGCTTAAAAAAACACAATAAAATGAATGATAATAGTGGTAATCCTACCTTGATGAATAGAGATCCTACGAAGTTTGGTTTAAGGGAAAAACTGAGCTATGGTAATTTAGTTGAGCAATTGAAACATAAAGTTTATCCAAAAGCTTTTCCCCAAAGCAATTGAAGTGTGTGATTACCTGTTCATTGTGGTAAGGGTAAGTCTTATGGTCCTTCAATCAATTTCTAACCTTTTAAAGGTGGAGTAATACATGATACTCTTTATAGGGAGGTCACCTATATGAGTGTGAAGTGAAGGTGCTTGAAATGTAACACTTATGAATCCAAAGTGTTGTCCATGACAAAAAAGTACTCAAAAACCCATAACGATTTAACTCCAAATTATGGAGTACTTTATATCTTTTATGGTTTTTTTTTTTTTTTTTTTGGATTTCCTGGTGTAGACATGGCCAAAACACGGGCGGGTCAGGTCCCAGCCTAGCCCAGTGCGCTTTTGAGCTAGAAAACAAAGGCCTGGACTGGCACGGACCTAGGCTCATGCCGGGCCAATAGCCCAGTTAAATGGGCTAGATCGGTGGCCTAGCGGGCCCGTCCAGGCTGAGCAGTTCCGTGTCGGGTCGTCAATTTTGAAAAAAACGTAATATTATAATTTGAATAGGGCTTAGTTGATATATCATAAGTAAATATCAATTAAGTTGAAGAATTTTTTAGGTTAAAAAAAATGATATTTTGACTTATAATATGTCAATTAAGTTGACTATGTATCCCTTATTTTGGGTATCAAAGTACTCGTAGTTCTCTTTTTTATACTTACCTTTCAGGATGCGTTGTTGAACCGACCGATGCTCTACTTATCTTACTCGTAGTCGTAGGTCTGGTAGTCGTCTTCTATTCCGGCAACACTAGTGAGATCAGAACAACCATCTTCTATATCCTCTTCGTTAGTTAGCATGACCATTTGCATTCTTTGTTCGACATTTCTTCAATCACCAAACAACATTTGATTCTCCAAGTTCTGTGGCATCAACCTTTACAGTCGTGCGTCCAGCATATATCCCCCCTCGCTAAATGCTTGTCTAACGACCACTGATGAGGCCATGACAACAAAAATCTCCTTGGCCATATTGCATGAAATAAGATAATTATTGCTCATTTTTTACCAATCTAAGACGTCAAATTTGAGTGGAGGGGTTGGTGCACGAACAATGTTAAGTCTCAAATTCGACGAGAGGTAGTGACGAGCTCCTGGTATTCAGTCCCATTGGTCCTTGGGATTGAACCACCAGCATGAGCAAAAGACCACCAATCCCCAAAGTTTGAGGGTTGGTGCATCGTTTGTCCCGCATAAGGCCCATAATAATAAGTAGAAGAAGACCCGTCGGACCTGTTGACATCCGAATTAGCTTGACCCAAGATTACGGTTCGACAACGAGAAACCGGGAAGACACCACCTCGCTGTCCGGACCGAGGCCACGAGTCAACACAAAGTGTCGAGCCCGATAAAAGAGAAAGTCAACCGCGACGACATCCAGCACGCTCTCAGAGGTCGGCATCTCGCGCTACACGTGGAGACGCCAATCTGAGTGGATGTCGAGCAGGAATAAGTGTTCTTAGGAGCTGGGAGGACGACAAGTGCCGAGAGTCCGACCTGAAGATTCCCTGGGACCGGCCACCGCATGGATCTCGTACTCAAAAATAGTATAATACTGTCACTTGGCGACTAATGATTGCTGATGGGACAAGCCACCCTAGTCTATCACCCTAAGGTATCTAGCTCGGCAAAGAGACCTTTCATCATTTAATACCCCCCATGTATGCATTAAATGCCTGGCAGTTCATGATTGAAGAAATCTCAAATCGCATTTAGTACTGTCAGAGAAGCACCGACCTGCCCGTCAGAGTTACTGTACGATATGACAGGATGAACAATGTCGAATTTAAGGTTACTATAAATAGAAGACCCATTTCATTTATTTTGGGTTGTTGAAATAACAAACTATTACTTTCTCTCTCTAGAATCTGTAATAAATTCCCCTAATTACTCCCAACTGTAACAGAAGTGTCGACCTCATTATCAGAGGTCAACCTCGTGATTACGTAATAAAAGCTATTTTAATCGTATTTCCTTCTTATTTTCTCTTTTCTACTTTCATAAAATTTAATCTTAACCGTTGATCGGATCCGTCCATCAACAATTTGGCGCTAGAAGGAGGGCACCATAAGTTATTTGGTGTCAACGTTTCGACTTTGTGGAACACCACACCAAGTTCATCTATCACTTTAAAAATTTACCAAAAATGACTTCCTCCGGTCATGACGAGTCAATTCACCAATCCGGAGCTCAATCCCGCCGACGCAATGGTGAGAAAGCATCACACCAACGTCTGCAAAGGACTCAAGCTCATGTCCCACCGGTCCGAACTTTCGTTGCTGCGATGCAGCACCCCGACGTTATCAAAGTCCTTGAGGGGGATTTTTCCAAGGCGCTGGCGAGTCATGCGGCCGGGGCAAATACCGTAGCCGCAACCGAAAATCCCGGCAATACGTTACTCCAGACTCTGACAAGGAGGCTAGGGGCAAAAATAGGAGGCCAGTTCGGTCCAAGACCACGGCCCACTCGCCCAACCGGGAGGCCCAAAACCTCCGTGAGAAAACCACGGGCCCGGCGCCCACCAAACAGACGGGAGAGAGCCGCCCAGAATCGAGCCTACAAATCATATGTCGGTCCGTCCACCAGCACTTGGGAGAGAAGAGCCAAACAAACCGTGACCTCAGGGAGGTCACTGAATGGGGAAAAGCCGTCGGGAGCGACACCGATGAGGTCGTTGCCCCCAAACAAAGAATGGCCGAGATGGAAGCTCGGCCCATGTCACAGGGGGTACCATCGCCTTGTTGGGATCTATGAGGATGTCGTTATGTACAAATCACAAATTCAATAGCAAAACGTAAACCTATGCGCAACAGATCTAAAGGTTTACGTATAGAACTTACGGCTTAAAATTTATGGCGATCTGGCTGATCTTCTAGATGTCCGTACACAGCACACCAATGAAAGGTTGACTGCAAATCGCGTCCTAAGGTGGCACGAATAAGATCGGATCGAAAACCGGATCAAACGGGTGCAAATGGATGAAGACAAGCTTGCAGTCCTGGGAGCTTGCGGCAACACATGAGGGCGCGTGCAGCGTCGGATGGTGGAAATATCGACGGCGTTGGAAAGCTCTCGTCGAGATGGTCGTCAGGATATGTTGTACGTCTTGATCGGACCTCCAGTTAGTTCTGTACGACAAAATATATATCGTCTCGGTTTACCTACAGATCTTCTACTGTATGTCTCAAACACTTCTTAATCTTGAAATGAGAGAGAGATA